AAATAATAATTTGAATAATAGAATTCAGATTCAAAATCCTCAAGGTTTTCAACCCCATTTGATGAAAATAGTTTATTAAAACATATTCGGTTTTCACATTTTTAAATAAATTTATTGTAACTTTTTTCAACTTGACAGCTACGAAATTCCAGAACTTATTTTTTAACGTTTTTCTCAGTTTCGATTTGTTTGATTTTGCTAATTAAACAATTTTACGTCATACATTTCAGAAACAGAAAAACACGCCAACATACAAAAGAAACTATTTTACTTTAAGCTTGTAGAAAAACTGGAATCACTTCAGGCAAGTCCATTAGACTCTGTCTAGTCTGATGACAATAAGTCGGATGACTGGGCCGGCCAATAAGAACATTCTCGCCATACCTTCCTTTCGTTAACAAGGTGATTAAACGCATCTGCTAATAGTAGATTCACGTGCCCCTTCGAGTTACCATTGAACGTAATTGAACCCTAGGTTCGAACTAAACTCTCAAATATCCTCCCTCCTCCTCTCGAAGATTTACATCGTAATTCTACCTCTAAATTGTTGCAGAAGAAAAAATCAATTATTGCTGTCTTTTCCTTGCTATGATCTTTCCAATAGCTGTAAAAATGCTTGTTCCAGTTTATGAATGAACCACACAGAACAGATGAATCCTCCGCACATTCATTATTTTATCATTATACAGTAAATAACTATGGTGTCGGTCTACAAAGTACTTTCAGCATATAATTTTGCACAATTTTCACATATTTTAGGACTACATGATATGCAAGACCCCAGGCTAAAGTGTCGTATCTAATTAAAGTTTTCGCAAGATCTCTTTAAGTAAATATCATTTATTCATTACTGATAGCTCCTTCGGTTAAGTAGGCTGCAATTTGCTGCTCATTTTCAAAATATTACATATAAATTATACGGTATGAGTATGGTATTGATTTCTTGACACACTCACCTCCCAAGATCAGTTTTCGTTGTTTATAAGAGAGTTTTGCATATTGCAGCTTGGTGTTAATAGAAAGCTTCAGCGGAAAAAAGCTGATCAAAAGGTGGAGTTATTTTTTTTCTTCCAACAATCGATGGAATTTCTCCAAAAGTTCCAGATGAAGGAAAATCTGCTGCTCTGGAAGAGCCTTTCTATGAATTTCCCAGTTTGGAGTTAGTGCTTGTTTCTAGCAAAATCAGAACGGTATTAGTCGTTGCTTATGAGTGTTGCGTTTAGTAGGACTGTCTTGGACAACATCCACTTTCTCAAACAAATTTTTTGCTCAAGCGAAGAGGCTAACAAGGTAACCAAAAATACACCGTGATACTGAAATGTGACACCAACTCTTAATGGATGCATTAAACTGCTGCTAAACTCCTAAACTCTTCTTAGATTGATGATGATGATTAAGCATTTTTAAATTGTCTTGTTGTAGCACCCACCACGTCTTGGCGTGAGCTTCAGCAACGGTTTCCTGAAAAAATGCATTGCAAAATTAATCTGACTACCGTTTTTCTTAATGCATCTTTCCGATATGTTACGTTGCAACGCTCATACCGTGCACTGCATGAAAAGCTCGCCAGCGTGGCAGCGAAAGTGGAGATATAAAAATAAATTGTGAGAACCGTCGTTTTGAGCGAAACTGGGCTGAACAAAACAATATCGAGAAGTTTGAGTTCGCCAACTTTTCGTGCGACTTTTCATTCAGTTAGTTCGTGTTGGCCGAGAGAATGGATGTTACAACTGAAGCGAACTGAGAGGAATTCTCTTTAGAGGCTCACAAAGAGACAACTCCGTTAAAGATTTGTTGCAATGGACAAGTGCAAATTGAAAAGGGTCAATAATTGTCAGTAAAGCATTGTCTAGGTTCTTTGAACGACCAGAAGTAAAACAACCCCTCCAACATTGATTAGTAAATACCTAAAGCGGTTGAATCACATCAATCTGAAAGCAGTGGCTCAGTTTTATCTCTATCTAAGTGTCTCAATTACGAGTGTCTTCACGCAACACTAAGCCCGGCTTTCTTGCACGCACCCTTGACACAGTTGCTTTCAGCCCCCACGCGTGTTTCCATTAACCGATTCTGCCGAGAGGATGAGTTATTTGCCCCGACACATCTGAGGGGTGAATTGGGCACATGGCAGAGCCCTAAACTGGGCCAGTAGTGCTACTTGGGAAACTTCCTGGCGCTTAGAATTAATTATGACGTCATACGCACCTGCCAGAAAGTTAGTCGAATAAGTTTCACGGTTTGCTGAACTTGAAACTGT